GAGTAAAAACTTCACAGAAATATTTATCCTGTTAAAAAAGAGCTGATGCAAATATTACAACATGTTAACATTTGTTCATCCTGGACAATATAAACAGAGTATCCTATTATTCTTCTCTGTGTTTTCAGTATTTTCCTCTACTTTTTCTTTAAAAAAAAAATAAAGAAAGAAAGCAATGTTGCCATACGTAGAAGGTTCTAGCACTATCCTCTACAAAAGAATCAAATGGTGGACCTGAAATTACGTTAGGATCATCTGTTCCAACTTGCTCTTACAGATGGGGAAACTGAGGCCCAGAGAAGTAAAGTAACTTTTTGTCTAAAGTCACACAGCTGGTCAGTAGCGGTCATGACTACAATCCGGTTCTTTGAGCATCCAACACAGCATTGCAGGTAGATTGGAATAAGGCTCACAGAATATGGTCTCCTGGGGCTCCTGAGTGGCTCAGTCGGTTAAGTGTCTGACTCTCGATTTCGGCTCAGATTTAACTTAGAGTTTGAGAGTTCAAGCCCTGTGTCGGGCTCTGTGCTGTGCTGACAGTGTGAAGCCTGCTTGGGATTCTTTCTACCTCTCTCTCTGCCCCTCTTTCACTCATGCACCCTCTCTCTCAAAATAAATAAACTTCTGGGGGAAAAAAGGATTTCAGTTTAAAAACAAATAGGAATCTTCATCTCCACGTAATTACATATTTCCACCTGTCAGCTCCTTCAGAGGGCAGAAACTGCATTTCAGCAAGCACTTTATAAACCCTAATAAAGGAATCCAAAACAAATGCTGGGTCCTTTCTTTCACTAAAGAAGCAGTATAAACTACTTTTAAAATGAGACCAAAAAATTCCTTAAAACATTTTCTTTTTCTTTTTTTAATGTTTTTATTTATTTCTAGGAGAGAGAGAGAGACAGCGTGAGCGGGGGAGGGTCAGAGAGAGAGGGAGTCACAGACTGAAACAGGCTCCGGGCTCTGGGCTGGCAGTCAGCACAGAGCCCGATGCGGGGCTCGAACCTACGAACTATGAGATCATGACCTAAGCGAAAGTCGGACGCTTAACCGACTAAGCCACCCAGGCGCCCCTCCTTAAAACATTTTCATTAAAAGGTAGACACAAAACAAAACTTTGACACAAGACCTGTAGATAAGCTAGTCTAACCATTACATTTTTATCAAAGTGAGACCAGAACAAGTTAGGCTGGGGGTAGTTTGAATGACTGTAGATTGCTGACCTGTGCACACAGAATCAATCATATTTCTTAAGAGGTGCTCCCTGGCTATCTGGGTGATATTAGAGAATTCACTGTTTCTAAGATTTTTTCATGTTTATTTTTGAGAGAGAGAGAGACAGAGAGACAAAGTGTGAGCAGGAGAGGGGCAAAGAGAGTGGAGACACAGACAGCACAGAGCCTGACGTGGTGCTTGAACCCACAAACCATGAGATCAGGACCTGAGCCAAAGTTAGATGCTTAACCAACTGAGCCACCCAGGTGCTCCTATAATTGGAGTTCTTTAGGAAAAAAAAAGACTGAAGCTAAAGCATGGAAATAAGGAAAGCAGTAGAAATGGTAACTGGTGGTAAATGCAGAAGAATATTCAAGTATATAAAACAGAAATAATGTCTTACAAGGTATGGAGATACATATAATCACTATAATAAGCAGCATGTGGAAAGTAATAAATGTTTAATTTAAATTAGCTTCTCTTAGATGAAGGATGTCTCTAAAAGAATAGTAGAAGAATAAATAACATGCTAATAGAAGGGGGAAAGGGTATAATAAAAATATTTGTGGGGCGCCTGGGTGGCTCAGTCAGTTAAGCTTCCGACTTCGGCTCAGGTCATGATCTCACAGTTCATGGGTTCGAGCCCTGCATCAGACTCTGTGCTGACAGCCAACTGAGAGCCTGGAACCTGTTTCAGATTCTGTATCTCCCTCTCTCTCTGACCCTCCCCTGCTCACGCTGTCTCTCTCTCTCAGAAATAAAGAAAAAACATTAAATTTTTTTTTTAATTTGAGTAATTCAGAAGAGGCAAGTAGCAAGAGAAAAAGGTCCATAAAATTGTGAGACAAGTAGAAAACAAATAAGACAGCCGATATGAATCCAGATACATCAGTAATTTCATTAAATGTAACTGAATTACATATTCCAGTTAAAAGACAAAGATTATCAGACTACATTTAAAAAAGAATATGCTGCTACAAGAGATAAAAAATGAATATAAACACAAAAGGATTAAAAGTAAAAGGATGAGAAAGAGGTACTACGCAAACACTAACCAAAAGTAACTGATACAGCCACCCCAATATCATATAAAATTAAACTTTAACACAGGAGCTTTGGTAGAGATAACGAAGGGCATTCTGTAACAATAAAAGGGTCAATTTGCCATGAAGAGAAAATAATTCTAAATTTATGTCCACCTAGTAAACTAGCTTCAAAATGTATAAGGAAAAAATTGACAGAAATAAGAGACATATAAATCTGTAATCATAAGACTTTATCACCTCTCTGGAATTGATAAGAGCCAGGTAAGATATCAGTAAGATATAAAAAATCTGAAAAACTAAAATTAAGAAATCTGACCCAGTCAACTTAATGAAGAACTAAGAATATTCTTTTTTTTTTTTATGTTTATTCATTTTTTAAAGAGAGAGAGACAGAGAGAGACAGAGACAAAGACAGAGAATGTGAGCAGGGCAGGGGCAGAGAGAGAGGGAGACAAAGAATCTGAAGCAGGCTTCAGGCTCTGAGCTGTCAGCACAGAGGCGAACGTGGGGCTTGAACTCATGAACCACGAGGTCATGACCTGAGCTGAAGTCAGACCCTTAACTGACTGAGCCACGCAGGCGCTCCCAGTTATATTCTTTTCAAGTGGACATGAAACATTTATAGAAATTTGCCACATGCTGGTTTATGTAATGGACATCTCTATTAATTTCAAACAGTGGAAAACTATCACAATATGTTTAATGATCATGTAAATTATACTAGAAATAATTTTTTAGAAGATAAACTAGAAAGCTTCCAAATGTTTAGAAATTCGTCAACATACATCTAAACAGCTCACAGTAGAAATCACAATAAGAAAATCACAACAGAAATTAGAAAACGTTTTGAAACAAATGAAAATAAAACAGCCTTTAAAAAAGCAAATATCACAAAACAAAAAAGGCTGTAATGATCTAGCGAACGTCTCAAGATCCAAAGAAAACTGAAGATAAGAACAGAAATGAATAGAATATCAGTATTTGAGCCTCAAACCTTCTATTTTACATATAAAAAGAATTTTTGATGATTTTAAGAATATGTTGGCTTTTTCAGGAATACAGCTAGTGTGTGGGTACACCAGGAAAGAGTGCCCTTATATCTTGTTCAGAATTTTACCATCATTTAAGAATGTCACATCACCAATAGCAAAACTATTCATGGTACATAAAGTTATTGCACTGTTAGTGACTCTGTATATTGGTGCAAACATCTACTTCCCATATTGAAATATTTATTACTTTATTATAAGTCATTTTCTTTTCTATAAGAAAATTAGAGACATTCCATAAAATATGGAATAATATACATATATTATATATATATATATATAGACTTGTTATACAGGTAGGTTATATTATCTGTGAATTTCTCTTCCGAGTAGTAAAGGAGAAATTTAAAAAATATTCTTTACAGAATGAGAACACTGGGTCTGGCAGGGTGGAAAACAACTAGATTTGATGATTTTTAAGGCCCTTCCAGTCTTACCATTCTGAGATTTTAAGTACTCGTTATTTCTTAGAATAGGTTTGACATATTTTGCAAGTTGTGAGTGGCAGGCACTGTATCTGGCACAGTAGGGTATTTAAATCTAATAACCCTTATAATGGCTACTATTACCATTATTTATCTGAGGTAATAAATTCAGAGGAGTTATTTGTCCAAGTTTAGATATTTAAAGAGTGTAGAGTTGGTCTGATTCCCAAATGCATGTCCTTTTCACTCATTATCTCCAACAAAAAGCAAACAAAGCATACTACTTTAGCTAGAAAAGCTAAATATTATCTGTGTACAGAAGCAAGGTTAGGCCAATGTAAACATTTATAAGAAATCTCTGCCCAGCACAGCAAAAGAGAGGAGAGAGGGAATATATAAAGAGAATAGGTCGTTTTCCTCAAGTCGGGACCAATAAGGCCGTTATACATGGATGCCATTTAAAAGTATATTAGAATGAGTTTCAAGCCACGCCAAAGTTCACCAAAACAATTTTTATTTCCAGTGTTTAAATGGGTATGCACACAGGCATGACACAGGTTTGGAGTCATTAAGTCCTCATGCAGAATTATATTCTTCTCGATAAAGAAGCCAGTTCTGTCCAGGTCACTATCTACACACCTATGTTACAACATTTATATCAAATCTGGTATCTGAAGAAAAGATACACATATAATATGTTCATTTAAGTTACGTTATTTTACAGAAAGATTAAAAATTCAAGTCACACAAAACTCAAAAACTGTATTAAAAGTTTGAATATAAAACTCAGAGATCCACCTGGAATGACTAAAGAATGGAAGTTCTGTATCCACCTGTGTTAAAACTGGTCAATGTAATGAAATTTGTTACCAAGAAAACGCGTTCATTTATTCAATGTAAGTTATCTAATTTTAACAATATGGCACCCTAATAACCAAATGGATTTTTATGATGAGGCACTTTTGTTAGTGATGAAACCAAAAGAACAAATTCGCTGCATACTAATGCCAGCTATTTTCTTCAGTAATCTTGGGTATACACTATGTAGTAAGTTGCAACAAATACCTTGCTCATTTGTATACAACTATCCAATATATTTTTGAACATATATATGTGTGTATATATATATGTTCTTCTGGCTGTAGTAATGCACTGTAAAGCTATTCCACAGTGCAAAATGATGAAACCAGCCCAAATGAAGGCTGCATAATAACAATTCTGGTACAAGAAAATATTTACAGAGTTACTGGAACGTGTAACAGTAGCTGTTTTTTTTTTTTTTTTTTTAACTTGCTCTGGTGGACGTACCCCAGTTTCAAGACAGGGCTGAAACTGTGCTTTATCGCCCGGGGGTTTCCGATAGTCGAGGAGGCCGGGCATCATAATGCTGCAGAGCTGGCGTGTCGGCTCATGTTCTGGAAGCTCTCCCCATTTATTTGGTCAGGTGACTGGGGTGGGCAGGAAAGAAGGGGTCTGCTGGTTGGAGCCGTGGTGCCGGGAGAGCCGCCCGCGTCGGGCCGGGACGACGGGGGCGCGGGGGCCGGGGCCCTTTCCGAGGCGCGCGCGCCGCCGTCGGGCTGGGGGGCCCCCGGCTCCCCTCTGCTGAGGTCGGAGGCGCTGGTGCGCAAGCGCTCGCGGGCCAGCCAGTCTGAGATGCAGAGGTCCTGCGCCGAGCACTTGGGCTTTAGCCGAGTCACGGCGGACAGTTCGGCCTCCCTCTCGGCGCCAAGCTCGTGCGCCTTCCAGAAACTCAGCACGCTGATCTCGGCCGCGTCCCTGTGGCCGCCGAGCGTGTGCCGCCGCTTGATGTTTTTCCTCTTCGCGGCCTCGGCGCTCGCCTTTTGGTTTCCCACCCCGAACATGTCGTCGGCCGGCGCCCGGGGTCGCAGTTTCAACCGATCCGCGATCCTGGTCTTCCAAGTGGGCTCCTGTTTTTCGGATTCACTTCGGGTCGGTGTCAGTAAACTCCCCGTCGACTTTCCTTTCTTCATGACGTCAAACACCCGCGCGATTGCAGGCGCCTCTCGCTCGCTCTTGGCGTCCACGGCGCTGCCGCCGTCGGACTTGAAGCGCGCCGACTTCCGCCTGGACAGCGTGTCGCACTCGATGAGCTTGTGTGAGCTGAAGGGCTGCCGCCGGCCGTCCAGGCTGGGCGTCAGGCTGCCCTCCGTACAGCTGGCCTCGCTGCCCTCGGAGCTCCTCCGGCTCGCCTTGCCGGCCTCCGGGGCCTTCCCCCGGGGGGGCCGGTCGGAGGCCAGGGCCGCGGGGAACACGGGGAAGTCGCTCTCGCTGTCCGTCTCCACCGGCCGCCCCTCGCTGATGAGCTCGCTGCGCTCGTCGTCCGCCTCGTCCCCCCTGCTCTCGGCCACGGAGCGCGCGTCGGGGCTCAGCCGGCTGCAGTCCGGGCCGCCAGGGTACGCGGTGGACGACGTGGTGGCGCAGTCGGAGGTGGCGGTGCCCACGGTGGTCAGAAAGCCGCCGCGTCTGGTCTCGGGGCTGGGGGACTTGGTGGCGGGAGGCCTTGGCAGAGAAGCCTGCGAGGACGTGCTGAGCAAAGCGCCGGGGTCGGACCCCGCCTCTTCCAAGTGGGAGGCGGGCTTGTGCGGCGCCGGGGACCTGGGGCTGTCGCGAGGCAAGGGCGAGCGGCAGCTGGGCGTTGGGGACTTGCTGTGCCTCGTGCCGTGCGGCGGCGACGGTTCTTCCGCCGGCGGCGCGCCCTCCCTCCGCGGGGGCGTCTTTTCATCTTTCGGGGCCCCGCCGTCCTTCTTGGCGTGGTTCTCTTTGGAAATGGCGCTCCTTTGTTTCCTGCACAATGCCTCGCTCTCTTTCTTGGACTCTTCTTTAAGGTCACTGTGACACTGTTCTGTGCTTTCTTTCTTAAAAAACACATTGTCCAGTTCGTCTTCGGAGCTGCTGGGTTGCGCCTTTTCTTTGGGCTTTTTCCTCTTGCGACTCGCGGCCGCAAAGATGGAGGACACGAGGAGTTCCCTGCTGTACTGGTCTTTTCCGGATCCCCAAGAACCCTGAGGGCCAATCGGAGAAATAAGACTTTGAGCACAGGGGCTTCAGGGAGCTCCTCTTCTGAAAAGGTTTCACCCCCCAAATATTTCTGAGTTAATTCTATGAAAGCTCTAGACGCACTAAGAGTGCAGTGTTTTGTACCTCCTCGTGACCTGCTCGTGAGGGAAAGTTTTATTTCTATTTTACTAGTTCCATGTCTTGGCAATTGGTGGTATTTATCTGGCAAGTTACAGCTCACATACATCCGTCTTTCACGGATGGGAAAGACTTTGTGCTCAGAGCTACCTAGCGCTCCTATTGTTAACTTCCCCCGCGTCCACCGACTGCCCCTGCTTCCGCAACATTCATGTTCCTTAATCTGGAACACAGGTTTAAGGGTTAATATTCTGACATAGTTGAATATAATATTCTGACATGGTTACTAAAATTGTATGACTGACTTCACTTTTCTAATTACAGACACCATATGATACACATCTTGTAGCAGATAAGCTCATTAAGGGAACCCTTTGGTGTTCCATTAGTTCAGCCAGGCTGGGTCTTCAGACTTGCCCGAGGCGGATCAGGTTGGTAATGTCTCATTTATCTCAAGGTAACAACAAAATCAGACGATTCAAATGACATAAGGTCAGTTAAAGATCTTAAATCCTTACCACAGAAGCACCATCACTGCTAAAGTTGTAGTGCAGGCTACTGGTTCCCTTAGCTATGTGGAATGGGCTCTTGATGATAACTATTTAGTTTGTTCATAATGGGTATCTGCTAAGTCAGTGGTGGTGGGGGCGGGGGGGGGGGGAGGAGGTCAAGAAACACTTGCTTCTTAACCACAGACCACCTAAGACCAGCAGGAGGGCAGGAAGTATGCTGAGTAATAGAAGCAGAAAGTATATTTCTCTATTGTCATAAAGATCTTAGACAAACTAAAACTACTGCATCAAAGTCATGGGGTGGGGGGGAGAAGTAACCATTTAGGCTGTTGTATTAAAAAGGATCACCACAATAAAGTCGCAGATTAACAGAACTTTGTTTTTATAAATTGGAAAGGGTCTCTCGGTTATCCAGTACACTTCTAATTGTTATCTACACTTTAACACCTTCTACTGAAGACTATAGTGGAGAAGGGTTGTGGCTGGATTCTGACTCAGACCCGACCTTCCTTCCTACCAAGCAAGTGATTTACTTTTCAACATCTCAGTTCCGTTGTTTATTTAACCAAGACAAAATCAGATTACATTAAGATTTCCTAGGGCTCCCTTTAAAATTCTATGACTCTGTGACTATATACGTGTTGGAGCAAATAAATCGGCTGTACTTACTTTACAATTGAAAAACTGTTACAAAGAATTATACCCTTTGTATATCCACTGTATTACAGGCAGAATACAACTACTGCCATTGGCAAGATGGAGAAACTGTTAGAACAAAAGATTAAGAAATATGCATCTAGTAAGAGGGAAGGAGAGATTCCTAATAAGTCTGAAATCTCAAATCTGAAATCCAGATCTCAATCTGAAATCCTCTGGCAGAAAAAAAAAAAGGGGAGGAACTGTCCTAGATTAATGAAGCCTAAAGAAACATGACAACAAAATGTAAGGAGTGAGCTTTAACTGCATCCTGTACAGGGAAATAAAAAACAATTTATATCATTGGGACAACATGGGAAATTTGTATAAAAACTATACATTAGAAATAATTATGTTGTGTTCTCATGTTACATACCTGGGTATTACGATTACCCTGTAATTTTACAGGAGACTGTCCTGTTATTGGGAGATGCAGGCTTAAGTATTTAGGGATAAAGTGCTATCATGTCTATATGTAACTCCAGTGATCAACCCGCACATGTATATCAAGATGTACCAAATGATGAATCTAAGGCAAAAGGTTTGGGTCCTATTTTTCTAGTAACTTTTCTCTAGGTTTAAAATTTTTCAAAATAAAATGCTGGGGCAAAAAGCCAGTAAAAATCACAATGTAAGTTATAGTGAATGATGTGGCATGACTGGAATATTTTATAAAATTCTGTCACGAGTTATAATTTAATCACATTCAGCGCCATTATGATATTTAAATATGATATATCAAAGCTCATGTCTCATGAGTTCCGAACAGAACCAACGTTTTAGGAGATTTATTGGCAATTCTAGTTGTTACTGTTTCAGCAGAGCAAAGTTTGCACAAATTGAGTTAATAAAAAACTTTCTAAGAATAAGCTTCCCAAAACTACTCAAAATGTTCTATAATCTGGTGGTGGTGTCAATGGCATACACATTATGTAAAAATACTGATTTCACTGAAAGGATGGCAAGAATATATATTTTCTTATGAACTATATATCATTCATAAGAATGTGTAATAGTAACAAAATCTATATAACTACTTAAATATATACAGATGAAATATGATGCTTGGATTTGCTTCTAGAATAGTCCGAGAGGAGAGAAGTGGGTGAAATGCACATGACACAAGATGGCCAGCCACGTGTCAATTGTTGAGAATGGATAATGGTCACAAGGGGACTCATAGTATCCTCTCTGCTTTGGTGTATGTTAGAAAATCGTCACGTTTACAAATGAAAGAAGTGTCTACTTCGCTGTATTAGGCTAACCTATACTGAGAGAAAACCAATGTTCCATCTCAAAATCCAGTATTCTACCATATTCTAAGAATTAATTTTTCCATTTAAAAGAATCTGTTGGTCCCTGTCACAAGACGCAGATAGGGACGCATCTGTATACTAATCACAACAATCAGCAGAAAGGCAACCCCCTCACCCCCACCAAAGATCAGCCACAGGTAACGCCTCCCCCAAACTGTACAAAACAATTTACCTTAGATTTTGTGGAGTCACTAGTAGCTGAATCTGTGAGAAGTTAAAGAAAACAACGGTCAGTATCAGTCAATGTTTACGGCTTTCAACGGACAATGCAAAACTCATGGAAAAGACAGGCACAGAACAAAATGTGAAAGCAAAACTCAAACGGAACAATAGAACACAGTGGATAGTCAGAGCTCACAAAGATGCAAGCTGCACCACAGAAAGCCACCGCCATGAAAGGATGCTGTGAATTATAGGCAGAGTCAGCTGGATGATAGGAATGGCAAAGGAGCCCTGTACTAGACAAGAACAGAAGCACTAGTGTTGAATCAAATGTCTAAAGAGTAAGTCTAGCAGTAAAGAAGCTAGAAGACCTTTGTGAGAATTGTACGATGGACCACATCCTGTATCTGAAACTGATACACAATGCAGAACTTTTAAGACTGTCAGCTGGCCTCGCTGCAGACTGAGACACTCATACTCGGTGTGCTTATGTTGATTTTTGTCAGACCGTCAGACTTCAATTTCATAAGCATGTACTGCATGCATATGGATGCATTAGATAACCCTGCTGCCAGGTCACTTTGGTTTTCAAATAATGCTGATCTCTGTGCTTTAGACCCCAGGTTCACATCTGGGCAGTCAGGGGTCCTTTCGACTCGTTTGGTTAAATTGCTACCAGTTTTGGAATTCTCTATCACAAATGCTATTATGGAAATGGAGAAAATGGAGACCATAGTTTTCACTGTCTGGCAAAAACTCAGATTATACAATTAGAAAGAGGGTAGGAAGGGGCTAGCGCTGTTCAGGAGAGTACCAATTGCACAATTTTTGTCTTTCAACTTGAGGGAAATCGATTTTCAGAATTAACGAGCTCAGCCCCGTGCCACGCCCCTTTGAACACATGGCTAAATGCTTTATGACTTTAAGAACCGGTGGACCATACCATGCTATTTCTCCTCACGGTCTGCTTCAGAAATAACAAGAAACAGCAGAAAAACTTTTAAGAGAGTAGTATTGATCTGTTTACAATAATCTTGAAGCGAAAATTTACACCACAGATCAACCGGGTTTGCATTTACAAGAACCGGGGGTTTCTGCAGACGAGGCAGCTACAGTGCGGACAGCAGCCCTCCTTCTTCCTACAGCTCCAGCTGTCCATCAGGGCCACCACAGAATCCACTAGCGACATTACCGTGTGATAGACTCCTCCCACTTCGCCTGTTCAACACCAGTATAGATTTGCCTGTGTCAGTAAGTGCTGAGAAAACCCTTTAGGACTCAGACAAGAACTAGAGACAAAGGGAGAACAGCGCGTGAAAACGACATGCTCGATTTTAGTTGCAACAGTTCGGCAGGCGAAAATTGTCAGCGAAAGAGCCTAGGAAAACCGCTACTTCACCGGACGTTGGGGCAGCAAGAGAAAAACAGAAGAAAATGTCAAATAGGTTGACTTTTTTCACTGTGACATCTCGAGTGACAAATAATATACTGCGTTTATGGCAACGGTGCCCGCTTAGCAGTTCAACATATTTCACTGGCTGCGTTCAAATGGAACGTCTAGCTCAAGAACTACTTTTACACAGTCCAGATCATACTTTCTGCCGTCACAGCAACCACATATTCAGTAGCATTTATCTGTTTTACCTTGTGATGACTATTACATGGAAACTGTGAATTAAAAAAAAAAAGAACAGAACAGTGGTTTGCATGCTCATTTCCCTCTTATTTCCATTCTGACAAGCATTACAATCCCATGCACTGCCAATGGCATTATAGTCACTGGAAGATAATTAAGATCAATCAGAAAAGGAAGATTACAATTTTTTTTATTAGTAGAAAGGAAAAAAAAAAAGAAGAAGAAAAGGAAAAAAAAATCACAGTGAATTGTTACTTGTGATTGATTTGTTCTTTCATTTTATAAGAATTTAGCTTTTAACCTAGAGATCAATACTGCCCAGGCAAGAGTTACCTGATACATCGCCAGGGGGGACTCCTGTCCTTCCAATGTTGGTGAGTAAATGATCTATGTTTGGCACTGGCTGGGAGTCTACTGTGTTTTCCTCCTGCACTGTTGTCTATGGTTAATAAACAAACATCTCTTCATCATCTCTTCAAAGATATACTTTCTTTAAAATTCAAACAACATTTAGCAAAAGACACATTACTGAGAGGAGCACACGTGCTTAACTGTTTACGCCCAATTAATTAACTACGAAGTGAGCATCGTACTTGTATTTTCATTAGACCAGAAACTGAGGAGCTATAGACCTGCTTCCGGGGTGCAAAGCAGACAATAGCATACAAAGCAGGAAGGTGACACTGTTGTGTGGCATCAGGGTCTGGTGTCCCGAACGAAAACAAGTCAGAGCAAATGCTGACGGACAATACTTACAAGAGGCTCTTCGGCACCTTCTTCTGTGAAAAACCAGTCATGCTAAAAGTTAAAATAGAAAAGGTGAAAAGAGAAATGAAATGGTCCCCTAAGTCAATCTATATTTTGGAGGATAATATAGGAAAAGAAAAAGGAAGTTTTCTCAGAAAAAAAAAATTATAATCAAATTCTGTCCTACCAAACATCAGCCGCTCACACAAAAAAAGGATTTTCTTGAGGAGATGAAGCCAGAACTTACGTGCTGGATAAGCGTCTCTACGATCTTGTACTGGTCGGGCATGTGAGTGACCATGTGGGTCATGTTATCTTCAGATGTTCTCACAAGAGTTGGGCCAAACACTATTGCTAGGTTTCTGGGCTCCATCTGGAACAAAGGATGTTGTTGAAAGATATCAGAACTTCTCTTTAGAAAGTAGGCTTAAATTGCCATGGCGTGTTTGGCATTTTATTTCTGAAAGGTTCTTCTGATGAAAAAGAATTCAAAGAAGAATGCTTGATTGATTGTGTGTAAAAAATAATAATGCTTCCTAGTTCGGCTTTCCATAAGCTAATCTAACACTTAAGTTCTTCTTCCAGCTTTCCAGCTGTACTGGACTATGTACTATGCATAATGGGCATTTCTTTTTTCCATGAAGTCTTTGATTGCAAGCGATGATCTGGTTCAGAACTAGTATTACGAGAGCTACGTTAACTGACAAAAATATGAAAATCAAAGGGAAAAAAAACATTCACAAAAGAATAGGGCAACCATCTCCCCACGAAAACGAAGAACTGGAAAAGGTGCTCAGAAATACATCACATTTTCCAGATTTGTCCCCGTAGTGTAACAAAGTGCTAATATTTAAAAACCTAAAGTACAGAAATACTCTTCTTTGACCAATTTTTACTTCAACAAAAACAAAGCTCTTTATTTATCCTTGCGCCAATCTGAACACCTTGGTAGGACATGCTTATACGCTGGAACATTCCTTTCCACGATATTTTTGTATTCCTGTTTAACTACACAATTATCAAATGTATAGATCCTTTGTTTCCCTTGGTTATATCTTACAGTATCTGGTGTCATATTTTCAATTTAGGAGTTGATTAAAATGACAAATAGCTTTAGCCCACCCTGAAAATGTACTGGGAGTTAAAAAAAAATCACTGCACAACTCAAAAAGTCAAACTAGTCTAGGGGTCACACTGCTATACTATTTTGGCAGAGCCAGGCACATGCACACACGCATGCACACACACATTTTAGGTGTGGTGCAAAATGGAAAACGCACAGACTTCCTGTCCTGAAGCCATTTTTATGCATCAAATACGTTAACTACCGTACTACATGCATTATTACACTGTGCTTACTGCAGAGATGTTAAGTGGAAACTGGGATCAAAGTCAGTATTTTCATAGAAAGCTGACTTAATGGAAAGAAAGTCTGACTACAGGAAAGGCTGACTTGAACTGCGCTCACAAGCTTGTATTTTCCCTCTGGAAAATGTCATCTTATTCCTGCATTGGTACTAGTGAAAGTGGCTCACAAAATAAAGGCCATCTCAAGGTCTTATGCAAAATTTTCTCTAGATTCATTTAAGTTTGTAGACTAATGATAACGCACATTATTATTTATGTATACAGTAATATTTATCATGTGGGTATTTACTTCCAGCTGGCTCCTCCATAAAACTAGTAACATAAGTAGTTCACAGTTTATTTAGTCCTTCATTATTGAAGGCAAATTCTGTATTTTTGAAAGATGTTCCGGAAGTGTCATCAAATAAGTCACGTAAATGAAATGCCTTAGCCACCTGTTCAAGAGTCCAATGTTAGTTAACAATTAAAACCACTAAAAAAATTCAACAGTAAAGAACCCTGTTATGTGTTGTTTAATTCAGTGCTTTCTACACTGATTAGTCCATCAACTGCTACTTTTCCAGTGCTACTAAGAACCAGCAAAAGTGATGAATCGATCAGTGATGTACTGCATTTTGGGGAATGCTGAAATAGTTAGAAAATACTTCAGCGATAATTGTATCGAGAACTTTTTTGGATTCTACTGGATGAACTTCTGGGAACAGTACATTAATCTCTCTCGTTTTTCCTTTTCCCTTTCATAGCCCTATCATTACTAAGGAAATGGAGAGTCTGAAGGATGTTATACACTGCTTGTAAACTCGATCTGCAGGTAAAGGAGTTGACGCTATTCTCATACTCCAGCCTTACTACAGCTCTGAGCAACTGTTTTCCAGAACACCACAGATGCTAAATTGACCTCAATGAATGCATTTTTGTCTACCTTAAGCAGCCATAACCTTTAGAAAAGGGTTCCTGAGCTTCCTGAGCTTGTGGTATTCTTTTTTGTCTTCTCCAGGAGCCAAAATGACTTCCTTTAAATATTTGTAAGTAAGGCTGAGCTTTAGAAAATCACCATTTTTGCAACCTCTAACAATAATAATGGGTTTAGGCAACAATCACCAGTGATGGATAAAAAATGATGAAAAGTTAAAACTACAACAGTAACAACCAAACACAATGTGTGGAACTTTAGATATTGATTTAAACAAACAGGTGTAAAAAGATATTTCTTGAAACCAATAAGGAAAAACTGAACATGAACTGAGTATCAGATCATTTTAAAGGGTAACTAATTTTGGTGTGTTTTTTTTTTTTAATTAAAAAAATTTTTTTTAATTTTTTTATTTATTTCTGAGAGAGAGAGAGAGAGACAGCGTGAGCAGGGGAGGGTCAGAGAGAGAGGGAGACACAGAATCTGAAACAGGCTGCAGGCTCTGAGCTAGCTGTCAGCACAGAGCCCGATGTGGGGCTTGAATCCACGAACCGTGAGATCATGACCTGAGCCGAAGTCGGATGCTTAACCGACTGAGCCACCCAGGCACCCCTATTTTGTTGTGTTTGCTAAAGGGAATGTGATGGTGTTGTTTGTTTAAACAGGAAAGTCTTATACACTTAAAACAAAACAAGAACATGTCAGTTTTCACTCTATACCATTTTGGGACATTTTGATGGTTGTATCCTGCAAAAGTATCACAAATGTTGCCTATTCAGCATACTGATACACACTTGAACAATAAAAGAAGTAAATTTTTTGACCTTTCATTTTTCTGGCTGGAAAAATGTGAAAAGACATGTCTTTTTCAAATGGTTGACAACTGATATTTTGGGATCATTTGCTTTTAAAAAGGGTGATCTTTAGAGGGCCTCATTGGCCAACAGGATGTATTTTAGAGCTTTTGCTGAATTATAGCCCTGTTTTTGATGGACACGAAGCAATGAAGCCTATCTTTTCAACTACAGCCACTGAAAGTACACGTTTTCGATATGTACTTTACCTTATTCTTTTCCGAATTCTCTGCCACGGTCTTCAGATGAGCAGAAAGGAACTTAAGAGTTTCATAATGATGTTCGGGCAGGTCGTGAATCTGCAACATATTTTCAGGATGGATTTAAAGGCTGAATTTCAGTTGTAGCTCCCAAAGTATAAAATAATACCTACTAGTCTTTTTAATGTTCTCAGACGGTCTAGAGGATCTTCTTTACGATTGGCCTCAATGAAGTCGGCGTATTTATCTGACAACAATAAGAACAATAAGACAAATTTATCTTAAATTGCTTAGGTGAGTTATAATCTAGATTTCCTTTGAGGTTCAACCTCAAAACACCACACACAAATTTAAATGTAGGGATGACCCCAAGTAGACTTTGCAATTTAGGTCTCCATACTTGCTACTGTTTTTAATGATCCTCCAAGCTCTATCATCAAATAAAATTCCCTAAAATGTGAGTTCTCTGAGGGTACTGTCCTGGATTTATAGTCTGCTCATTCTTTTTTCTCCCCCAACCACAACACTGAGAACAGTGTCTTAATAAGTCATATTTGGCTTAGCTGAAAAAACGTTTTTCTCCTAATTATCCATTATTATGTCTGAAAATTCTGACAGAGAACAGTAAGACATTTTTAATTTGACAAGCAAACATGCACGAACAGGATAAGATATATTTTATGGAACTTAAATAATTTTATAAGCTCTATTTTTCACTGGAATTTATCCTGAGGGAAAACCAATCTGAATGACAAAAAACAGCCATAATTTAAAAACAATAGCCATAATTATGTTTTATGTAGAGGTAACAAGTAAATAAAATCTCCTGCTTCTGTTAACAAAGTATTTTCTCCAGGTTCAATGTAATATTCTATGGCTTTCCAACAATGTCATTTTAAACTATTTCAACTGGTACCTTTTGTGTGGCAGTTCACTCACCATTTGTGAAGAGAGGTTCAGGGAGTTTTCTGAAGAAGGATTTTAGTAGACTGCTTATCACATTCAAATCTCGCCATTTCTGGGGGTGCAAAAATAGAAATATGGCATTTTTGTAGCCAGTACTACCAAAGGGAAAAAAAAACCCCACCACAGATCAGGTATTCAAACAGAAATAAACACACTTACATCATCTTGTATGTCAATATCCGCCATTCCCTTATTGAGCTCCTCCTGCATGCTTGAGATGGCTGCATTATTTCCAGGAACTCTATAAATACCTGTATACTCAAGACCTCTTTCTTCAACTAATTTGCAACATATGTCAACTATTAATGGAATATACTGCAAAACAAGAGATAAATATTTTATTTAATACAGCACAAATGTTTATATTTGTCAGTAGATGTATATTGTAGCTAAAAGCCCCCTTCCATCCAAGAGGAAAAATGCATAAGTCACGGTTATTTGAAGAAAATGAAGAATGCAGACATTGCAGAGCCAGGAACAGATCAAAGCAGCAAAAGAGATTTGGGACAGTGGGAGGAGACCACCTAGGTCAAAGCAGAGAGAGAAGGGTCCCCAGGGAGACGAAGGTCTGAAGAGAAAATGAGGAAAAGTCTGTAATAACGAGAATGTGGGCACAACTCAGGTGGATAAAGGGGAACAAAGCCAAAAAGAGAAGAGGGGGAAAGAATAACATCAGTCAACTCATGACATAAACCCTTACACAGACACACACACACACACACACACATGCACATTTACATGTATTATTACTTTCTTAATCAGGTTCTTTGTTCTCATCCTTCTTTTAAGATGCTAAAAGCAGAAACACATGATTTGGATATGAACTCTTACCATTTCAGATACATTTCAGATACATTCCTAATGGATGAATCATGAGTCCATTGCAGAGTCAGTATGTTAGAAAAAACGTGTGATAGATAAAATTACTCAACGCACCGTGACAGGTCAGCACCACTCAGGGAAGCTGGGTCTGCTAGGCAGAGGCAAATGCTGGCCAGACTAACAGACACCCTCTGTTATCTGAACGGCTGTGGACTCGGCTCCTACTACGACTACCACTGAACTGATGGCGGGAGGAAATTCGGGGGGCTGGGGTCTCCTACCCGATTGGTATGTGCTGGCGGGCAGTCATCCAGTCTGACACCGAACGTTCCTGTAGCGGTAGGCTTTTTTTCAAACGTCTTTCTCATAATACTTGGAATGCCCTTTCTCCATGTGCCTTTGTCTTTTGGGGGACTGGTATCATCTTTTGATTGATATGCAAAATAAATAAATAAATGAATGAATGAATGAATGAATGAATAAATAAAAGACACAAGAAAAAATGGAAACAAGCATGTTTAAATCACATCCTTTATCAATATTTACATAAATCAGAGTCCTGTGCTCTAAATGATAGATCTTATATTTATTAAAAATATTATATTCTCTTCCTAACATAGCACTCCTTTTTGCCTTCTATATAATTTAATCAGAATCTGTTCCGCTTCTCCGCCTTTTTACAATCTGCAGTTTTCTTTATTTTTTTTTTTTTATTTTTTTTTTTATTTATTTCTAGGACAGAGAGAGAGACAGCATGAGCAGGGGAGGGTCAGAGAGAGAGGGAGTCACAGACTGAAACAGGCTCCAGGCTCTGAGCTGGCCGTCAGCACAGAGCCCGACGCGGGGCTCGAACCCACGAACCTCGAGATCATGACCTAAGCGAAAGTCGGACGCTTAACCGACTAAGCCACCCAGGCGCCCCTGCAGTTTTCTTTAAAACAGTCAAGAAAAGAGGATCAATGTGACATCTTAATAGTGAGATTCTAGCAAAAGGAAACATGAAGGTAATGACAGTGCCCGGGTCCTCTGCATTAATCACATTTGCAGTGTCTTTTACGTAGATGTGTGTGTTCTATCTTCCTTCACTTCATTTACTCCAAGACAAAGACTCCTCTTAAGGGAAAGGGACCATTAGCCTAGACCAGGTCCACGGTGACCTTTGAGCTAGCTCATAGTGGGCCAAGGTCAGCGGAAATGGTACAGACAAACATAAAATACCCTTACAGTCCCAACTTTAAACCACCACATTTGTTAAATTTATCCAGAAATGCTAACATCAGTACCTTTACTGAGAAGTTTCCTTTCTGACTCCTCCTTGGGAGAGTGCGGACTTTGAGTCTTTGGCTCCGATTTAGCACCAAGCAGAGTCTGCCGGATGCTGAGACTCTGGCGAGGTGTTTTTGGCAACTGTTCCGCTTTGCTGCTGAAAGAAACGGAACATTTCTTAACAATTACGTATTTTACATCCAAAGTAACTTGTAGGGGTGGCGGGATTCTCACCTCATCAGACTGTTATATTCTTTTATTCTTCGACTAATTAGATCCCTGTTAGTCACTCCGGTGTCCTACAGAAAGAGCAGGAGGGGAGATCAGAAAATCAATTCTAAACACAAGTAGGGATCCCTACTTTTTTTTTGAAGCCCTCTATTGTACTACATTGTTTAGTCAATACAGACCCTCGGTTCCCAGGGGACTTGTTTTAAAACTCTGTTCAACATCACCCATCATCACTCTGCAATGAATGATCCAAGCGCCTCCTCCCACCTACTGCCAAAAGGGTTTTCTGTTTCTTTTCTGTGCTCCTACGATACGCAGACTACAGCCAGCAAGCACCACGTGTTCAAACTTATCGATCTGACATTTTTTATAAACGACTGGGAAGCAGAGGGCCAGTCTTTTTTTCTCTAACACCAGAAAGAATGATCAGCATTTCAAAGTAATACAGTTGCAGGGCACCTGGGTAGCTCAGTTGGTTGAGCGTCCCACTGCGGCTCAGGTCATGATCTCACAGTTTGTGGGTTTGAGCCCTACATCGGGCTCTGTGCTAACAGCTAGCTTGGAGCCTGGAGCCTGTTTTGGATTCTGTTTTCTTCCTCTCTCTCTCTGCCCCTCCTCCGTCCCTCCACCCCCATCTGTCTCTCTCAAAAATAAACATTAAAAAAATAAAAAAATAATATAGTTGGATAAAAGAAAAGTACTGTCAAATCTGTTAATGATGAACTCATAGAAGCAGTGAGATTGAGGGTTACTTAGTGTCAGAAGTGGCACTTAGATTATCAGAGAAGAAAAGTGCAAAACTGGGCTTTTCGAGCTCAACAGATTAACTTTTATAATACGCTATACGGTAAACTCAGATTTGACCAGAAGTGATAATTCTTTTCTACTGGTTCCAATTATACATTGGCATGTACCCTCAATTTTTTTATTAGTCTCATTTTGAGTAGAATTAACAATTTAATTTAAAAATACAGACCCTGAAGTCAAACAGTCCTGAGTTCAAATACTCTTCCTACTTAGCAGCTGAGAGATCACACAGTTAAAATCCACAGTAAGATCTCCTGGGTTTAAATCCTGGCCCTGACACCTACCCGCTGTGTAACCTTGCAGAAACTACCTAACCTCTCTTCGCCAGTGTCTTTGTTTATAAAATGATGATGACAGTGATAGGACACATTCATATGGTTGCTGAAATTTATTCATGTAAAATGTTCTTACGCTGCCTGTTCACTCTGAAAAATTCAGGTCTGATGCTTTCTTTACAGTGGTGTTTGCAGAACAAAGGTTGTATTGGTACAGATCTGGTGTTAATTTTTAACTACAAAGAAGGTAGGGTGTACACTATCAGTGAAAAAAGCACAGGCTTTTTTCCTAAGACCTAAGTTTTCATAATCCGAATTGGATGTAATGGAAATGGCTACACTGCAGAACATACTCCGCCTAATCTTATGGTTAACGTGGGTGACCCCATGTACCGTGAGTTAAGGGAAAAGAATGTTGTGCTTTTTGTGTGTGCGTCCTAACAATGGGCATGAAAGGTGAGAACGTGTAAGAAAAACTGTTAATGATATGAGAAGATACTCTTGAGCAAATGTTATAGACTTAATCACCACCGAATTTGTTCTGTCGGGTTTATAATTATATATCCTGAAAACACTACCTTTATGAATGAAATTCCTGTTGTAAAAAATATCTTGATGGTTGTGAGCCAGAAACGCTCAAGTCCCTAAATATTCCTTATTGAAGAGAAAAAGTGGCTTATCACATGATTTCTGACAATGCAAGTTTTCTTGGAAACCAATGACTGTGTTCTAGCAGGCTCTATTATACTCTGGACTGCATTTGTATTTCCATTAACAAAAATCCTCCTATCAGTATCTCTTTGCATTTACACAGTAATTTGTTTTGATGAGAATTTTCACAATAACTTAAGCCCCACAGTGATCCTGCTTTTGAGATAAGGAGCCAGAGCTGGAATTATTTAGTCATAAAGGTAATGACCAGGACTAGGACCTAGGATTTCCTGATCCTGCTTCTAAGAAAGTAGGCAACATATACGAATCCTCTGTTTCTAGTTCTGTAATGGAGATTTTCAAAATAATATAGAGTAGGTACAGGTGAGTTTTCCTTCTGATCAATTTTTCAAGTGAAAATAGCATATTATAACTTCTTTTTAATGTTTTTTTAATTTTGAGAGACAGAGCACGAGTGGGGGAGGGGCAGAGAGAGAGAGACGGAGAGACACAGAGCCCGACGTGGGGCTTGAACTCAATGCCCAAAGAGATCATGACCTGAGCTGAAGTCAGTGCTCAACGGAGTCACCCAGGTGTCCCCTTATAACTTATTTTTAAATGATGTATCAGATCCTTTCAGTCTTCCTAAGAAAACTGTTAACGAAGGAATCTGGAACGAGCATAGCTTTGAACACATACCTCCTCATTGAGGTTGCTGCTCTCCTGGATGGTCCTGATCCACGCTAGCATGTCGTCTCTGTCCTCAGCCTGAAAAAGGCATTCGCAGTCCGACGTGGTGAGTCGGAACACGTTCTTCCTCTTGGTCTCACTATACGAGATGTCTATTAGGCAAGCGTTGACACTGATGGGCTGCTCTTCTTCAGGCGCACCTGTCTGCTCTCTTTTGTCTTTGTACAAGTACAGTGAGTGGCCCCGAAGCACAACATACATCTGTTTCCACGGCCGGATACTTCCACCAACCCGCTGGAAAACACGGAACAGTTCAGGAACACTTCCTACATGGCTCAGTCTTAGTAGTGGGATGAACACACCAAGCAACACTGTTAACACACACAAATGGACACCAAGCCTGGTAGGTGTCCGAGTCACAGTCGTATACATTTGTCAGGAGAGGATGGCAAACTGCGGAGGGTACGCCAAGCAACTCAAGGCATCTGCATCAACATCAAGGATAAAGAAGTGCCAACTTTAATTTGGGTTGGGGGAAAATCTATTTTACTGTTCATGAACAAAGTAATTAAGTAGAACAAAGTAAGGTAAGACAAGAGTAGCAAAATATGTAAAATATATAAAAATATATCTTAATGGAGAATAAAAAAATAAGAAAAAGATCAGTCAGGAAAGTCTTTTGAATGAAAGGAAGGCTGAGGACAAGTCCCAGATCATGCGAATCTGCATGAACATAGCAGGTGCGGGGAGTGAATGAAGTTAACGAGACTGATCACCTTTATGTGGCAACAACATCCATCTCCAAGGTGGGTTTTTCTTAAAAGTTAAACTCAACTGACAGTGTTGAAATTTTGCTATAAATAATCTGCCCAGATACTGTAGGAAATTTTATGGCAAAGGTTTTATTGTATTGAAATCTACTTAATGAAGCACATAGATAGCGTGATATTCATTTATACAGCTCAATATTTATAGAATAAAGTGAAACAAGGAAATTATAAAAGAATAAAATGGGAAAATTTAAATAAAATATTTAAAATTATTAATATGGAGAATTGTCACTTCCTAAAGGAGGATTTGTGAAAATCTATGCCTAATAAACTATTTAATAAGAAAAACCAAATTCCTTCTTGAATAACTTCATGTCTCTCTTCTGCTGGCAAAATATAAGACAGTAGACTCCTTTGCAGTTGATACACAGGACGAAAATATACAAAATTAAATCAATGATTAGAGTTCTTTTAAATGACTTTTTCTTTTCTATAGGAAAAGATATTTTTTATAAGGAAGTGACAGACTTTTATTTATTTTAAATGTTTATTTATTCATTCTTGAGCGAGGGTGCATGAGTGGGGGCAGAGCAGACAGAAAGGGACAAAGACAGAGAATCACGTGAACTTTGAGATCATGCCCTGAGCTGAAATCGAGAGTCGGACACTTAACTGATGGAGCCTCCCAGGCACCAGGAAAAAGAGATTTATAACTGATGTTTTCTACTCTTTATTCTGGATAATTTGCCATCTTATCTATACAGACTTTATGTGCTATTCTGCGGGGGCCACATTGCATACACTCGCGGTAGCTGCAAAAACATACTACCTTGCCCTTATCGGTGACGAGCGGCCGGAAGTGGAGCCATCCTTCCCTGGCAGCATCACTGAAAACCTCTGAGGAAGAGTCTTTCCTGGACCCAGAGTCTTCTGATGACTTCTGGCTGTCTATGATCTACAGAAAAAGTCAGGAAAATAGAGTAAAATATTTTTTTCTTTTATAAATACTTGCACATAGAAATTGCTTGACTGAAAACAATAATTTTTTTATTGTTTATTTTTGAGAGAAAGAGGGAGGGGAAGAGAGAGCTGTGTGATGGGGGGGGCAGAGAGAGAAAGAGATCAAAGGTCTCTTCAGTTCAGGGCTTGAACTCATGAACCCTGAGATCATGACCTAAGGCTAAGTCAGACACTTAACTGACTGAGCCACCCAGGAGGCCCTGAAAAAAATCTTTAATGTCCCAAAATGAACAGTTATTTTTGAAGAATGCCAACTTTATCAATTACATTAGAAAATTTTCTGGTCTTGTTAAAAAAAAACATGTAAATTGACTACCATCAATTTTTAAAGGTCTGTAGGAATTTTTAATCATTAAACAAATAACAGAAATAGTATAATTTTCCTGCCCTCAAGAGCTCACATTTTAGTGAGCAAAGACAAATCTAAAAAATAAAAACAAGAAAATGATCACATTGTGATTAGTGCCGTTTGGAAAAGGCCAACTGAGATGTGACAAATGACTGAGTAGCAGCTGTAAGTTCAAGGCCTACTAAAGGAAGAATATTTAAGATGAAATATGGAGGAAAGGGGCCATCCATGATAGGTCAGGAAAAAGAAAAGTTCAGGGAGAACGTAGAGCCAGTGAATGTACATTGACTATTATCATTTTAAATGTACACTGTTAATGTAAGAGAAACAGCTGATTAAGAGATTGTTTAGGGTCTTCTAGGACATGGTAGGAAGTGTGAAGGGAAGCCAGTAAGTGATGAGTCCAAGGAGGAACATTATCTGGTCCCAGTTCAAAGGTCACTGTTTGCCACCTGGAGAATGGATTCTCCAACCATGAGAGAGGGGTTACTGTAGGAATCCAGGTGAGGAACAATGGCGGCTTGGGCGAAAGCAGCCTAAGTAAAGACAGGGAGGAATGTCAAACTTCAGGATGTGGTTTGGAGGTAGAGTGGGTAATTCTTAATAAGAGGGAGGGTGAAAAAGAAGCAACAAGGCTAATACTCGGTTCTGGGGCTTGAAAAACTGGGTGAAGTGGACCGACCTAGTGAGACAGGGAAAACTGGTGGTAAACATGTCTGGGGTAGAGCCCAGATCTTTTTGGCCATTAAACCTTGATTGCTTATTAAACACCCAAACAAAGATGTCAAAAGGGTAGCAGCCAACATGAACTGCAGCTTGGGGAAGAGGCCAAGGTGAGCAGTATAAACAGTGGGAAAGATCTGGAAAAGATCATCTCAGCAATGAGGGCAGATGGAGAAGAAAGAGAGGTCAGAACAATCCTAGACATTCTGACATTTTAAATATTAGAACCGCAGAGGCAGAAATGGAAGCCAGCAAAAGAGTGTTTTAGAAAGGCAGTGGGAAATGGTGGTGGATACTTCTGAAAGGTCAAAGAAGTTAAAAGTCGAAGATAGCCATTAGTTTGGGGAGCTTCAACATCACTGGTAACCTTGGCATGAACAATGTCATTCTGGTATGTGTGGGGTGAGAAAGACGTGACATGGGGATGTGGACCCTATGGGAAATTTTGTTCAAGGAGTTTGGCTGTGAAAAGTGGAAGAGAAAATAGGAGCAGAAAATAGAGAGGGATGCAGATTCAAGGAAAGTTTGTTTGTTTGTTTTAAATATAGTAAATAGTAGAATGTGCTTATATGACGGTGATGAGCCACTGGCAGGAGCGATCGTGCAGAGGAGAGAGCAATCTTGAAAAAGGGAAAAGTGATGGAATCCAAAGAAATGTGGATGTAGGATTTTAACAGCATCATGTTCCCAGTAAGCAGATACCTAAGATAAGTGTAAGGAAGAGAGAAACTGTGGGTGCAAACGGAGATGTTTTTAGAGAATGTAAAACAAAGAAATTCCTGTCTAACAGCCTTTTGTGTGTGCTGTCAATAAAGTACGAGGGAAGAGTAGACGAGAGACCATGGGGTGGACTGTACGGAGAAACGTGGAGGGTAGGAGTGAAACAATAATTTTGAGGAAAGAAAAATATGCATACAACAAGATACAGGATTGCTGGGGAGCTAAGATTTTTGGCCATAAACTGATAAAGTGAGAAAAATCAGCATAATGTGTGTGAAGTATCATATACTTGATGAACATGTTTAGAAATTAGAAAAGAACACCTTATACATCATATTTTCCAAATGCAGCGGAAACTGACAGAATAATAATAGCACTAATTCCCTGTGAAGAGCCAAAGCAAGCTAAGGGAAATGAAACATTTATCATTTGCTGATAATTTAAAAACTATTGAATACCAACCTTGATTCCCTTCAGGCTAGAAATGTGCTTAAAGGACCTGTTGGAAAGAAATGTAGAAATATTTGCCATAAATGCAGAAAACACTTTAGAGATATAAAACAAATTGAACATCACAAGTTAGCTTTCAATACTAAGCTGATGTTTCATCATTACTATGTTAAATGCTCACTGTTCAATGCAAATGCGAAAAAAAGCTAATTTTCTAAGTACTTAAACTTCTGATTCCATGACAAAAGCTTTCATAGTGGATCTGGTCAGCTGAAACGGTTTCTACATAAAGTGTGAGAGTTTATCCTTCTTTTTAGATGAAAGAAAAAAAAGAATGGCTTGGGCTAAACAGTGGGCTTTAGAATAAATCATCAGTTAACCATAGTTGCTGTTGCAATGTTCGATTAAGGGTTCCCACAATGTTAACAATGATTGATAATGTGACCGGGAGACCATTCTTCCTCCCAACCAAATTCGGGATGCTTTGAAAGGGAGACCTGTGGCTGCCAGGGAAAAGGCTTAGGGCCTTCGAAGACAGGTGCACTTTAACTATTCAAAATAATTCAACTTTAGGGGGGTAGGGTTGTTTTGCTGGGTTTTTTAAATTCAAAGTTAATTTTAGGATTGTAAGATGCGACTGAAGATGGCACTGTCCTTCCCTTTCAAACTGCCCTGGACAAGAGCGCTAGCAATAGATGCGCAACTCCGGACCACAATACGTATGCCCATGAGGACAGGCGGCTAAACACGGTGAAGAAGAGAATGGATACCAGAGGAGAAGACACTCCTAGTGGCGTATCTCGGACAAAACTGCAGTGCGCTGCTCGCTGAGAGATCAAAACCTTCCCTTGCTTGGAACAGTGGGAAACAGGGTTCCAGAGCTAGTGCCCGGAGCCCCGCTCATCACTCCAGATACCAGGGTTTATGAAACAAAGGAGGAAACACACAGCCTGGCCATCTCTGCAGGGAGCAGTGTGTAGTTGGTGCAGGGCGAAGTAGACTCTGAAATGTGGCAGTTACTGGCCTCTTTCGGGGAGGAAAAAGTGAAGGCAAAAATAGGTCCCAAATTCAACTCTGCATCATCAGAAAACTTCCAGCTCGCCTGGACCTTGCCGTGGCCACACCTCACACAAACTTCCCCCATGTATCTGGTTCCAGGAAGAACTGACTTTATTGGAATATAAGTAATACTCAAATGGAAGCCTTAGAGAATCTTTCCAGAAATACTATGATAAAAAAAAGACAGAGTGTTCTTTGACCGAAGGCTCAATATTATAAAAATGTCAATGTTCCTTAAGTTAATCTTAGAAATTAAACATTGTGCCATTAAAAATGTCCATAAAAACTTAAGAACTAGAAGATGGACTTGAAAGTCCAAATAGTAAAATAAACAAAAATAGCCAGGAGAATTTGGAAAAACACAGAGCAATGAGAGAATGGCCTTACGAGATAATAAAAACATTATAAAACCACCACAATTAACAGAATCTGGTGTACATGAGTAGGCAGATAAATTGACTGAGCAGATGGAGGCTAAAAATAAAACTAAATATATGTAATAATCTGGCATATAATAAAGATGAAATATCAATGGGAAAAATATTGTTCTGGGGGCAACTGAGAGATACTGGAAAATATAAAGTTGGCTCTTTATCTCATTAATTGGAATAAAATAAATTCCAAGTAAGTCAAAGTTGTAAATACACACAAGAAAAAAAAAATTTGAGAGGCAAACAAGGAAGAATTTTGTTGTAATTCTAGAGGAGAGAAAGGCTTTTTCAGTATGACCTAAAATCTGAAGGCCATAAAAACATCTTAAATTTGACTGCAAAGAAAAAGTTTAACATTTTTGCACAGTTTAAATAAAAAAGAAAACTTAAGAAAATCAAATAAAAAACACTGAATTGGGAAAAGACTTACACCACTTATCTCTGAAAAGAGCTCATTTCCTTTATATAAAGAGCTCCCAGAAGTCAATCAGGAAACCAGTAGGAAGATGGGCAGAGGATATGAACAAGCAATTCAAAGGAAAATACAAATCTTTAAAAAAAATTTTTTTTTTTACAGTTCATTTATTTTTGAGAGAGAGAATGTGAGAATGGGGTAGGGACAGAGAGAGAGGTGGAGAGAGAATCAGTGCCCGATGTGGGGCCCGACCGAACTCACCAACCATGAGATCATGACCTGAGCAGAAACCATGAGTCAGATGCTTAACTAACTGAGCCACCCAGGTTCCCCAATATAAGTGTCTCTTAAATATATATGAAGTGATGTCCAATTAATTTACTTTTGAAATAAAAAATACAATATGATGCCATTAGATTTACAAAAAACCAGAAGTTAACTAACATGTTGTGCTGGTGAGGAACAGCAGAGACTTTATCCTCTGTTGGTCGGAACGTGATTTGGTATGAGCTTTATGGATGGCGGCGGACAATGCATGATGCATATTAAAATAAAAAAATACACACCCCTTGACGTAACAGTCTTTTTTCCAACCATATTCACTTAGACACTAAATGAACTATGTACAAATATAGTCACCAAAGTATTGTTTGCAGTAGCAGAAGACTCAATCAATCTAAATGCCTATTAATAGAATGCAGAATACCAGTTAGATACATTTTGGTGCAGTTATTGAATGGAATATGAACCAATCATACAGAAGTGAGCCGGGAATGCACGCACGGGGTGATCTCCATGATCAGTGTGTACAGCACCTATCACTTGTTTATATAAGTAATTAGGGTACGTGTGTACGGGATTTGATGCATAGAAAGCTCTGAAATAACACAAAAGAAAACAGTAACAAAGTCACGGCTGAGAATAGAACTGTTAGTTAGAGGCCTAGAGCAGCAGTGATTGTTTAATACATATCTCTTATATTATGCTGGTGTATTACTGATTTTTAAATATAATTTTAAAAACTCAACTGAATATATTACTGGATAACAACTTTGCTTTACTTTTTATTTGTATTTCTAATGGTATAAAGTTAGGAAGTGTAAAGGAAATCGTTAAAATTCAGTGTTTATACGTCAAAGTCATGCTGAACACTCACAAACAGATATTTAAAATGATATGCTGGAGACTTACAATTTTGCATCTTCTCTGTAATCATCCAGGCCCTCGTCATAGGATTTGGATCTTTCCGTCTTTGAGCTGGGCTGGGCATCTAGGCTGGGAGGGCCGACAGATTCTGTAATTAAAATCCAGCATTTAGACATCTGCAAGTGGTTTCCAGACCCTTTCATTAGAGAAGAGGTCATAGTTTGCCATGGCATTAAGTGGAACACTGAGAAAGTGGACACGCTTTGCACGGCCACTCACTAAAACGTACCCTGATCATGGGAGAGCTGGCGGCGAATTAAAGGAGCCGACGTGGTGAGGCTGGGCGGGACCGTTGCTATGGAGGGTGCCTGGGGTGCCTGGGGTGCCTGGGGGGTGGAGGCTGAGATGACAGCAGAAGCGGGGATGTGCGCAAGGTCATGATCAATGCTGGGGCTCGTTGGTTCATCTAGAAAATAAAATGAAAATAAATATTGGACGGGAGTCTGGTTGTCTCAGTCGGTGGAGCATGTGACTACTGAACTCAGGGTTGCGAGTTTGAGCCCCACGCTGGGCTTAGAGCTTAATTTAAAAAAAAAAAAAAAAAGCAAATGAAAAGAAAAGAAATACTGGAATGTCAAGTGACTTAATTATTAACAATCAATATTTACTATTAAAGAAAAACCAGATACAGATTTTAATACTTAACCACTAAGTCACCAATAAATGACATACTTGGCCTGTTAAAACTCTTACAGAGGTATTACTCTAGGAATTCCAAATAATTCTGAGAATGTGGTCCAAGAAATTAAATAGGTTGCTTCTTCTACCAACCAATTAATACCTTCACTAACTAATAATCAAGATAACAAAGTTTATAGGTATTCAGAACCTGAACCTATAAAAGCAGACCCATAATCATACACCTCCCTACAAGAATTACTTTCCCATTTTAAATGTATTACATATCATTTCAGGAAGCTAAGCCAGGTGACTTGGCCGAGGCTTAAAACTTCCCTATGCACAAACACACAAGTATACCTTCATAGGTATAGAAAATGAGAAAGGACAGTGACTGTCATAGAAAGTCATAACAAAACCTTCTATAAAGTATATATTATAATGATGAAAAGGGTTTTGATTTTCTGATTTAAAAGATCAAACTATTTTAATTTTGACCAAATTCTAAGAATGCTATCATTTTAATGATTGGCATTTTAATCAAGATGACTAATAATGATACAAAATTATAACATGTGTAGCTAAAATCTATAAATTCTGACTACCTTGAGCTTATTTTCTGTTTTTACGATGTCTTTAAAAGCAGCTCTTTGTATCTTAGCAATAGAGAACATTTTAAAAATTTCTCTAGGAATCAAGGTTACTAAGTACTTGATAATTTAATATATGTTGGTGAGCATACAATTATTCTTTTCTCAAAAGAAAGGAGATAACTGAGGTTTTTACATCAATTGAATAAAGATAAAAATTTAATTTTACTACAGATTACAGTATCCTTTAAAATTGTCATTATGATTTAAATTACCAAAAATTAGCCAACCTTTTCAAATTATACATATGTATAAAGTAAGTTGGTATTCTGGCGTCTGCCTGAGCCACCAGTCTGTTATGGATTCAGAAGCATGGCTATGAATGAGGAAATACTGTATTCTTTAGAAATTATCTGGCATATGTAGGACTGATAGTATTAATAGTCTGAAGAGATTTCTGTACCACAAACATTGACAAGAGGGGTGTGAAATAGAGGTGCCAGAGAGTGTCTAGGAGATGCCGGAGGATAAATCTTTCAAAGACCACTTTATGCCTTGCAAAGCAGTTTTAAACATTTACATTTTTATTTATTTAAAATTAAATTACATGCAATGAAATTCAAAATGTTCGTAGATAAGCATTAAAAAAATTTCAAAGATGATTTTTTTTTTTTTTTTTAATGACTCTGGACCCCCTAGAGGTATGCATTCAATCTATTTGGACTCACTGCATTTTGGAGGAAGTTTCTGTATTATACCAGGCTGAAATAACCACTGCTTTAAGTATGTTATACAAAAAGGTCCTGGATAGACCCCGGTCGCCCCAGGGAACAAGAGTGCTGGGTGGGTGGGTGGGTGGGTGGGGGGATGGGCAGCAGGGAGGTTAGAACGCTGTGCTCACACATTTCAGTCTTTGCATTCTTTAGAATAGATCTACTATGTTAAGACAGACAAACAAAAGCTAGATATACTTTTAAAATACACAAAATTACATGACCTCACATTTTATGAATTATACTAATAATAAATCCAATTATCTATTCTCTGTAAAACTGTGAGAACTTTTCTACTGCAATGATTAACAGGATTTTGTTTTATTTTATTTTTAAAGTTTATTTATTTATTTTGAGAGACAGGGAGAGAGTGTGAGCAGGGATAGGGCAGAGAGAGGGAGAGAGAGAATCCCAAGGAGGCTCCATGCCTGACACTGAGCTCGATCCCACGAACTGTGAGATCATAACCTGAGCCAAAACCAAGAGCGGGACACTGGACTGAGCCACCCCGGCGCCTTGACTAATTGGAATTGCAAGACCCTAATGTTAACATCTGCTTTCATTATTACCAACATATAGATTACATAAAAACAAAAATAATTCAGGCTCATCTCATTTTCTAATGTAAGAATATGGGCACTATTTAGCTATCCAAAGAGAAAACCAGTGTGCTGTCAGATTTTCAACTAATTTCTATATTTTTAACATCAAACTTATTCTGTCAGATGAAAATAATTGATCATATCTGTCCTAAGCATATCACATATGACATCAAGACGTTAAGTGTGCATGTGAAACATGTTTATGAACTATCAAGGCTATAGACTTGCTATTACCACATGGCATAATCCCTCAGGGTAAACTGAACTACATAATCGAAGAACCCACTTACCATATGAGGACTTAATTGAATTTATTCACTAAAAGCCCCATAGCTCTTCACAATAAAAAAAGGTGGAGGAGGGAACTGAAATTGTTATATATTAAAAGTCAAAGTGGTACTGTTTCTTATCCTGTAAAAAAGACAGACCTAAGTGTCCAAAAATTTTATTTTAGTTTTGGAAAATACTGTTTTCCAAAAATAGATAAATAACTCTCACCGAAAATGTATACTCCATAATTTAATTTGGATTTTTTCCCAAAGAGAGAATAGCTATAAGTTATTATGTTCAAACTACTTACCCATATCTGAATAAAAAATCTTCAATGTTATTTCTTATCAGTTAAAATTCTGGAAGAACATCTATAAAATTTCACAAGTCAAGAAAAATATAGGGGCACCTGGGTGGCTCAGTCGGTTAAGTGTCCGACTTCAGCTCAGGTCATGATCTCACGGTTCGTGGGTTCGAGCCCCATGTCGGGCTCTGTGCTGACAGCCAGCTCAGAGCCTGGAGCCTGTTTCAGATTCTGTATCTCCCTCTCTCTCTGACCCTCCCCTGTTCACGCTGTCTCTCTCTCTGTCAGAAATAAATAAAACATTAAAAAAATATATATAGACAGGGACAAAATTAAGGCAGCATATTGTGAAATGATGAATAGCAGAATTATTTCTCAAACAACAACAACAAAAAAATAGAAGCCCTAATAGATATTGAGAACTCTTATAAATAGAAACAACTAAAATTGTAACAGAAGGTCAAAGCACATGAAACGACAAATCATGGGAGAAATACAAAAGCCTAATAAAAATGAAAAAAAAAAAAAAAACAACCCTGGAAAAACCTGACTACTGATGAAATAACAGAATGAAACTAAATGAAATAGGACAGCTGTTTTTCATCTCACAACCTGGCAAATATTTTCACCTCATGATGTTATCCTATTCGTTCCTGTTCATCTGCAAGATGACAGCAGGGAATGTATGTTGCCAGCTGCCCAACTCTATCTTTGGGGTTCGGTGGGGCTCACCAGAGCACCCCCTCCTATCGATGGGCATACGCGCACGGCCCCTAACTCACTGAGTCCACAGTGACAGGCCAAGGGTGAAGAATATGATCCAGTTAGGACCCGTCACTCAGTCTCTCCATTGGATTTGATATATGGATACCGAGAAAAGCAGTCTTTTTCTTCCCTTCCTCCAGCAGCAAAAAGTATAAATACTAGTAAACTGAGTTGCCTGCAGCCATCCTTCCTACCATGTGGAGAAAAAGTATCTGAGAATGAAGAAAGCAAAACCGAGAAAAAGATACGCAACCTTGATGACAAATCACTTGAGTATTTGGCTCCAGCCATGCACGGAACCAGGTCACCCACAAAACTTCTTCGCCATGAGCCGACATTTCTTTTTGGCATGAGCTAATATGAAACAACTTTCCATCGTTTGTAATCAAGAGAATTCCAGCCAACACAAAGGTAGAGCCCAGCATGTTTCTAGTTCCCTCTCACAAACCAGCCTCCCTTTTCATAACACCTCTCATCCAACGCTGCAGGTTAGACCAGAGGGCTTGGGCTCCTCTAAGAGCTGGGCTCTGAGGAATTTTTCCCACAGGGCACATAATTACTCAAAGAAAGCATGGCATCAATGTAGTTTATCTTTTAAAAATATAGTTGAGAATAATTTTATGCAACTTAGTGAAATTAGTGGAGTTTTTTGGCATAGACTATGGCTAAATAGCTCCTTGAAGTAAACTTGGCTTTTTATTTCACTCCTGCTACCAAGAGGTAATCCAACCCTCTCCCCAAATTACAGAATAGTTTAAGGGAGGTTAGCCTAATATTCAAAGATGGAATAAACTGTATGTTGCAAGGGGAGGAGCCAATCAGTGTAAGTTGGAAGACACAGTAACTAATGTAAAAGTATATATTTCCAGAACAGCATGGCTGTGTGCATGTGTATATGTGTGCGTGTGAGTGTATATATCATATATATACATATATATATATAATTTTTACTAAAAATATGGATTGAACAAAGTGCACCATAAGAAGGGACATTCACTACAAATGACCTAGAAAGTCAATCCACACCTCAAGCAAAACGCATGTTTAAAAACTTTTGAGATTTTTCCTTCTCCGTAAGGAAAAGGAGAATAAATAATGCTAATATATTCTTTGTCTTAAAAAGAAATTCAAATGGGAAAATTATCCTTCCTTTTGATTGGCCTTCTGGGATACTTCTACTCAGTTTAAATCAAAGGAGATGAACAGGTAATAGCGGGTTGAATTCTCTTCTCAGTAGGCAAGCATAAGCTCTTTCTTGTGTATTAACAAGTAACAACCGATTAATCTTGAGTAATACCACAGGTTTGTTTCTAATCTAATGTAACCATAATGAAATAAAGGAATTCTAAAAACACGGAACTCCCTAGGCAAGTTTTACTTAACTACAATAACAGCAATACTGGTTCCTGAACAGTGGTGGGAAAATGATGGGGTTGATAAAAATGGCATGCTCAAGAAATGCCACATACATTAAATTAAAAAGG